TGGTAACATTTTTCAGAGGGATGAGGGTAACCACAGTGAGAACATTTTGCTCTTGGCTTTTTGTCTTTGGTGATGGTTTCTGATTTTTGTAGTAGTTGGGAGCTGTTTTGGCTAGCATTGCCATAGGGTCTGATATGGATGTGTTTATGTTGTGTAAGGCTCTTTGAGATTCTTCTTGGAGAAGGAGACTGTATATTTTGGTTAGGGTTGGGAGAGGGGAAGATAATAAGAAGTGGCTTCTCAGGGATGCATATGATTCATGAAGACCAATGAGAAATTTCATAACACAGTCTTGCTGTTGAGATGCAGCCATAGACTCAAAAATGTTACATGTACAAGATGTGAAAGCTCCACAGTGACATCGAAAAACAGGTCTATAAGTCACATATTCATCCCATAACCCCTTAAAAGCATTATAATACTGAGTGATAGACAAGGAACCCTGATCCATGGTGCTTAGAGATTTTTCTAATTGAAATACCCTAGGACCAGAACTCATTGCATATCGATTTTTAATCTCATCCCAGACCTCTCTGGCAGAAGTGAAAAACAACAGAGATTGTCGAATTTCCTTCGATATAGAATTAAGCAACCAGGATAGAACAAGATTATTAGATCTCACCCAGGCAACATAGAGTGTAGGATTATCAGTCGGATAGGGGGATAAGATAGTACCGTCGACAAAACCCCCTTTGTTCTTGACACTGAGCGCCATGAGGACGGATCTGGACCAGGAAACGTAGTTCTCGCCATTGAAGGGCTCAACAACGATGATAGCCCCTGGATTGTCGCTCGCGTGCAGGAAATATGGAGATGAAGGATCGTCTGTTGGATTCAATGTAGCGGCCATGGAGATTTTGTACCGAAAGTCACAGAATATGAACAAACTGAAAAGAATCAGCCAAATACGAACAGATCGAAGAGATGTCGACCAAATATGAGACGATCGAAGAGATGTCGATCGAAAAAAAACAGATCGAGTTTCAGATGTGGAAACCCTAAAAAAAATGGCGATTGAGTTCTCGGAGATGGAGAATCAATCGAAAAAGCGAAAACAGAGAAAAGGTGCGGAAGCGGAGATCGTAATACCGGCGAATGATACCATGTGAGATTATAGCTATGATAGAAGAAGAATTGCAGACAAGCAATTGAGAGAAAAGATGAACAAGATGAACTGACGATTGAATTGCAAAAATTGGGAGAATCGAAAAGTGTTTACAAACTGTGATGTCCCTAGTATTTATACTTAGGGTTCACAAGGGTGTTAAAGTAAAATTACATCAGGTCCTATAGTTGCTACAAGTGATAGCAACTTTACATACAATCTAAAAACAAAAATTACATCAGGTCCTATAGTTGCTATAGAAAATAGCAACTTTACATTTATTCTAATTACAATATTTGTATATGCTAATAAAAAGTAAATGGACGTGACTGTTCTGAGCTCGATTAGCTTATAAACCTTTTATTTC